CTTACAATTTATTTAAAAGACATTGTATGATATCTTCTCTTAGTATTAGAAACTTTAAAAAGTATATTTCCATTTTCTGTTGACTTTATATTACTTCTTCCCTGTCTTTTACACACATACACACACATATATGAAAAAAAAAAATACGTGTATAACCCAACATAAGATTGGTACTATTTCATAAAAATCTGCAGTGACCTTTAAATAAGGGTTCATCTAATATATCTTTTTTTTTTTAATTTTTTTTTAACATTTATTTATTGTGTGTGTGTGTGTGTGTGTGTGTGTGTGGCCAGCTCAGCCCACCAGGGGGCGGGGCTGGCTGGCATGTGGTGCTGGAGGATTGAACCACAGTCCCTGTGCTTTGCCAAGCTTGTTCCAAGTAGGTGCTTTAGACCACTGAGCCATCTCTCCAGCCCCTATATCTTTTATATAGTCCTGCATAACTATCATATTGAGAGCTCTTTATTGTTCATCCAGGAGCACACTGCAACTTCTCTTGCCTTTTGAGTTATGCTCTTTGTTATTTCCTATATGCTACTTCTGGAGGTATTAAAATATTTCAAGTTTGTATAACTAGAAAATCTTACTTTTAGTTTTCAAAGGTGTGTTTGCTAAGTATAAAATTCAAAGAGAACAGATCTTTTCTTTCAGTCCTTTAATCTAGTTTCTTACACCGTTGGTCCTTTTTTTTCTTTCTAATGTGGAATAAGATGCTATTTAATTTTGTTCTTCCACAGCTAATGTTTTTATGTATATGCTTTAATGATTTTTTTTCTTTATAAGAAGTTTTGGACAATTTCATTTTTGTGCATCTTGGTATGATTTTATTTAAATGTCTTTGCAAAAGGTTCATTTTGCTTGGAAATGAGATATTGTAAGTTGAAGTAAATTCAGAAATTTTAAATCTTTAAAAAAATGCTTGAAACTATTGTTTGAAGCAAGGTACAATTCACCTATGATGAATGCTATCACTATGTATATATAAAATGTACCAATAAAAAAAATTCAAGGAAAAAAAAAGTGACTTATTGGGCTGGGAAGATAGCTCAGCAGTCTAAGCGCCTGCTTATTAAGCAGAAGGACCCAGGTTTGATCCCTGGTACTGCATGGTGTGCTGGTCCTGCAACCTCAGAGCTGGGCATGATGGTGTAGGCCTGTAATCTCAGTGCTGAGGAGGCTGAGACAGGAAGATTACTGTGAGTCTTGAGCTGTGCAGTGAGACCTTGTACCAAATAAAAACGATTTTTTAAAAATTAAACAACGAAACAAAACTACTGTATGGTTGAGGAATTCCACTTCTGGATATAATGAGCTGAAGATAGGATTTTGAAGAAATTTGTGCATCTATGTTCAAGGCAGCACTGGTATAATAGCTAATCATGAAGCAACCCAAGTATGTGTCTTTAAGTATGTGGGTAACCACAATGGTGCACCTACACCATGAGGTGTTGCTTAACCTTTGAAGAAAGGAAATTCTGAGCCAGGCATGCTGGAACCCACCTATAATTGCTGCACTCCAGGAGGCTGAGGAAGGAGGATCACACATTCTAGCTCACCCTGGATACCATAGGGACTTAGTGAGATCCTGTCTCCAAATTTAAATTATTTTTATTAATAAAGTGGGGCTGGGGAGGTAACTCAGTGTAAAGTTTCTGGGTTTGATCCCAGTACTGCAAAAAAGAAGAAGAAAAATTCTCAGTGGAGGATGGCTCGGGAGGAGAGCAACTGCCTAACAAGCACAGAGCCCTGGGTTCATTCCCCAGCACAAAATAACAATGAAAAAGGAATTTCTGGCATAAACTATGACTTGAAGCCTTACGCTCCTGAAAAAGCTGGTCACAAAAAGGCAAACACAGTTATAGTTCCACTCGCACAGGGCGCCCAGTGTAGGCACAGTCACAGACAGGACGCAGCACAGAGGCTGCCAGGGTCAGGAAGAAATGGGCAGTTACTATTTAACAGGACCAAGATTCAGTTTTGCAAGATGGAAGAGTTCTGAGGCTGGAGGGGGTGAGGGCTGGACAGCAGCCAGGTATTATTACTTTTGAATCACAGCTTTAAAATAGCTAAGATGGTAAGTTTTATGTTGTAATTTACTGCAATAAAAAATATGGAAAAAAGGAACAAACCTTGAAACTGGCCCAATATCTAAATATCAAATAGTTATATAAACATGTTGCTTAAAGTCCTAATTACATGTTAATGAAAATGGGGGAAAGCAGCAGCACTAGATCCAAGATGGCAGCCAGCAGGAGGCTGATGAAGGAGCTTGAAGAGATGCACAAGTATGGATGGAACACAACTATAATCCCAAATATTTTACATGTTCAATGACTAGAGAAATGGTTAGGTGACTCCTCACATTTACTTCCTTGACTGTCACACTCATTTAATACATGACAACTTTCCAGCTACAATAGTAACGATAAGTGGTAAGTTAAAAAGGCAGGGATGTCTTTTGCACTTGTAGCAGTTTTTAAAAATATGTTTAAAAACATACTAATAACATGTTAACATATTATTATAGACGTTACAGAATGAAAAATTTCTGTAACATCCAGGTTGATGAAGCTAATTTATTGATAGGGCTTATTGTTCCTCCATATGCTACGGGAGGGTTAGAATTGAAATCAGCTTTCCAGCAGGGTATCCATTCAAACCACCAAGGATCACATTTAAAACAAAGATCTGTCACCCAAACATTGAAGAAAAAGGGCAAGTTTGCCTGCCAGTAATCAGTGCTGAGAACTAGAAGCCAGTGACCAAGACCGACCAAGTAATCCAGTCCCTTAGAGCACGGGTGAATGACCCCCAGCCTGAGCACCCGCTCCGGGCTGACCTAGCTGAAGAATACTCTAAGGATCGCAAAAAATTTTGTAAGAATGCTGAAGAGTTTACAAAGAAATATGAGGGAAAGAGGCCTGTGGACTAAGATCTGCCACAACTGATTCCAGCAAGCATGAGCAGAGGCCCTGAGCAGGGCATTCAGACATCCTGCAAAGCAGGACTCTGGAAAACTGACACGTGCCACCACCTGGAGTTCACTTGTGGAAGTTACTAACTTTCTACCATTTTCTTAATCAAAAGTGATCTAGTAAGCAGTAAAGAAAGGATTAAAAATTTCAGATATTCTTAAAAATATATAAATAAATTTTAAAAAGTTAAGGAAAATGGAAAAAGCATTTTTTTAAGGCAAAGTGTAAGAAAAGAATGACAAAATTAAGGGAGAAAAAAGGAAAAGTGAGAGAGAGCATTTGCCTCTCCTGGACCAGATGGAAAATTTTGCCTGGTGAGGGGTTCAGGAAGGACTCCTGACTGAGCAGGTGAGGCCACTGCATTTCACCATTCTTTTTTCTTCCCTCCCACCCATCAGGATGATGGTAAACTCTCTTGGGTTAAACATTCTTTCTGAAACAGACTTCTAGCAATGATAGAGATTTGCTTATAATTCCTGAGATTCGCCTTTCCCCTCACACCAACACCTGGTCATAGTTACCAGCCCCAGAGCAGACCAAACACTTGATACTTTACAGGAGCTACTGTCAGACTCCACCGCTCAGCCCCGTGCTTAGTTGTGTCCTGACAGGAACAGAGCAGTGAATGCTGTGCAGCCTCTAGGAGAGGCAGCGTCTCCCTCTGAGGACAGTGAAGGAGCTGGTCAGCCCTGCGCTGCCAGCAGCTGCTCCTCCCTGAATGGCCGGAAGGCGGCCATCACAGTGAAGTCCCCAGTCTCTCACTCTCTTCTCCAAAGGGAGCTGTGCCTGCGCTCTTCCTGGTGTCTGCTTCAGAAGGTGTGTTAGTCAGTCAGTGATTTTTCACAGAGGGTGACTTCTGGCACCCGATGAGATGACTATCCAGATGATGAGGACCGTGTGGGCCGCTATTAGAATGAAATAGGACACCATCTGTTGAGTAGGCTGCTCAGCAGCTAACACACCTGAAGACATGGCCAGTACTCTTCTTCCCAGCATATGTGCTGCCTGCAACCACCACAGCATAGCAGCACCACATTGCTGCACGCCTGCTGTCTCATGTGGGGCTTGGGTCCTGGCAGCTCAGTATGTCCAGGCATTGGGCCTGGTGGTAAACAGCATTCCTGCATCTCTCCCTATCAGGCTGTTGGCTTTTATTATGCTTAGGACTTTCCTCAGGTTGAGGGCATCAGATGCCTTCCTTAGGACCACAGGCACAACACAGTAAAGCTGCAAGGGGCATGTCATTTTCATCCATCTCAAAAAGTCTTCTATTCCATGAGTAGAACAAAATCTTATGTTTCCTTTAAAAGTAAGGTGTCTTTTTTCCACTGACATGCACTCTTATCTACATACAGTGAATAAACACATTTTCCACTTTTTTGGCAGTGCTGGGAATTGAATCCAGTACTAAGCTATATCACCAGCCTTTTTTCTTTTAAGACAAGGTCATGTTAAGGTACCTAGGTTGGGCCCAAACTTTGAATCCTCCTGCCTCATCTCCCTAGAGTATTGGGAACAAGTCATTAAAAAATTTTTTTTCTAATCATTTATTTATTTATTTGGTACAGGGTCTTGCTATGAAGCTTGGACACTTAGTTCCTCCTGTTAGAGCTTCCCCAGCATTGGGATTACAAGTGTGTGACACCATGCCTGGTTTTGGTGGCCAGCACAGCATGCCAGGGATTCCAGGGCTGACACAGCATGCAGTACCACTGATAGAACCTGGGTCCTTCAGCTTGCCAGGCAGGCGCTTAGACTACAGAGCTATCTCCCCAGCCCTAGTTTTGTTTTTAATATGTGAGAAACTGCCATACAGTTTTCTATAGCAGCTGTACCATTTCAGCTTCCAACCAAGAGAAGACAGGCTCCAGTTTTTCCATGTTCTGGGCAGTACTTGTTACTTCTCATTTTTCTGTAGTAGTCAGTCTAATGTGTGTGAAGCTTTTGAAAGCATGCCATCCTCATGGTGATCAATCTATAATAATATGTTAACAGATGGTTTTAATAATTTTATCTTTACAGACTAAAACTAGTGTCCCTGAGAAGGATGCAGATATTCAAGAATTTAACCTAGAAAAGGTAATGTATTTTAAGATTATGATGTTATTTATGATTGATTTGGAAGTTTATTGTGGTTTTATTAAATTTATAATACATTAATAGATTTATTTATAGTACAGAAAAATCCCACATATTTTACATGTTTAATGGCTAGAGAAATGGTTAGGTGACTCCTCACATTTGCTTCCGTGACTGTCACACTCATTTAATACACGACAACTTTCCAGCTACAATAGCAACGATAAGTGGTAAGTTAAAAAGGCAGTGGTGTCTTCTCCATTTGTAACAGTTTTTAAAAATATGTTTAAAAAGAACAGGAGTATAGTTGCATTCTCTTAATGAATAGAATGATTTGTTCTAATGGTGTTTGTAAATAGGATCACAAGTCCGCATCTTGTACAGCAATTAACCACTAAGAAGAATATATGCAGTGTATTATTTGTTGAAACTGTACTTCCAATTTGATTTGAAACTGTCTCATTGCTATCTGTTTATCAATAAAACTTTGAAAAAAAAATAAAATAATAAAAAGAACAGGAGAAGGTATTTCAACAACTAGGAGTATGGGTTTTGGTAATGGTCTGCAGATGAGCTGCTGTGACGCAGGTTGATGTGTAGTAGGTGTGCCTGCACTGTACTGTTCAGCTGAAGCCATTGCCTGTCTGGGTGGTGGCTTGTTGGATGAGAATCCTCGGATACTGCACAGCTCTGCCTTGCGTCTGAGCTCGGACTCTGCCTTCTGCAGAGGTAGCTCTTGGCTTTGGTGGATTGTCAAACGAGGAAGGAGGATGTCATGAGGCAGTGGTGATGTGGAGAAGCATCCATTACCCTGCTCTGGGGCTGGCACTGTGTGTCTGTTACCTGGGCTGTGCCTCTGCCATGGCACCGCTGAGGCGCACTGGGGCTGAACTCTGTTTGCCATTCTCAGGCTCGGTTGGAAGTGCACCGGTTTGGGATCACAGGCTATGGAAAGGGAAAGGAAAGAGTCCTAGAGCGGGAACGTGCCATCATGCTCGGAGCCAAGGTGAGGGGGATCTTCATTGGCAGGCAGCTGCAGAAAGGGATCCACGGTGGCACGTGGACATGGGCACATTTTTGAAAAACAAAATCTGATGATATGTGTTTTTATTCCTTCATTTTAGCCTCCCAAAAATAGTTACGTGAATTACAAGGTTTTGCAGGACCAAATCAAGGAGAAAAAGGCGGCAAAGGAAGAAGAGAAGAGAGTGGTAGGTATAATATACTGCACTTTGCTCTTTACTGTGCTCAATAGAACAGGGTGTTGGATGCAGCCAGCCACAATGACATGCTAGAGGCCACTGCCTACGAAGAAGTCAGGACAGTGTTGCATGGGAAATTCCCTGTTTCTTAACAGCTGCATCTTGGCAGTACCAGCGAGGGATCTAGCGTATTGACAGAAAAGGGTAGCTTTGAGGTAGCAACCTCCTCTCAGAAAATGCTGATTGCTTTCCAGTGCTCCTGCTTTTGTACATTTTACACTGCAAAGCACACAAAGGCCTATGAAAAACCATAAGAAATAAATGTGATGCTCCCTTCTTTACAGCTGAATTGGAAGTGACCTGATTTTTCCACAGAAGACTGTCATCTTATCCAGAATAGCCTTTTGCATTCTTGAAAGGGTTTCAAGATGAGACTTTGAGACTATTTAATATGCCCCCTTGAAAAAATTATTAAAAATAAGTGGTATGTTGGTGGCTTTGTTCACAAACCTCGTGCCCTTTTTTGAATCTGTTATTTATTACTGACACATTTATTATCTTAAATTTTGAAATCAGGCCCAGAACGCAGATATTTTCAAGAAAAAGAAGAGGAGAGGACAAGAAGAAAGGTGAGTGAGGTCCGCAGGTGCTGGGGCTGACTGCCTGGGTGAGCATGTTCTGACATGTTGTCCCACACATGTGGTACTAGCTGTTAGAGAGCTTCTCTGCCTTGGTTATCCTGATCAAGCCTGTAAGGGGAAGGCAGCTTTTAGTACATTTCCAAAGACCAAGACAGCCTCAGGACTGAACATGTGTAAGCTTCTGCATTCTCCTATTTTCAAAGACCAGATGTCTCAGGTAACTAGTGAAGTGGAGCATGATGTCATCGGTGTACCATACAGCTGGTCTGTGGAGGGCTCAGTGGCATGCATGAGATTCAGCAGGGAGCACTGACTTGCTTCCTTCCTGCTTCTTAGCTTCTGTTCAGGTGCCTCTTCTCTTTCAGTTCCTGCTTCAGGATGGACTCTATCTTGGCCCCATCCTTGAACTCCTTGTGTACTTGCTGTGCCTAAAAGTGATCATTTGTTACAGTCATAGTGCCAGGTGTCTGCGAATGCCTGCTGTGTGCTGGACACATGGGCGATGTTCCGTAGATGTTGGTACAGCTGCAGTCACACTGAGGAGCCATCCATCCTTCAGTGCTGGCTTTTGAAAAGCATGAGACAGACAGGCATGGTGACCTTAGTACTGGCAAGTCCTGTGAAGAGGCTGCAATAGCAGTTTGTGGGAGGAGAGCACCTGTGGAGAGGGAGGTGACATCCAGGTTGAGAACTGCCGTAAACAAAAGGGACAGCCTGGGAAAATCCTTCCTCCTGCAGGGTCCTGAGGCAGGAGGGCCAGTGGGCCTGGGTTGACTGTGTGTGGAAGGAGTAGGTTTCCAAGCAGCCTGCAGTGCTGCTTTTTAAGCCTAACTGCATGTTCCTTTTTCTCTCCTTGAATGTAGGAAGTCCAAAAAGAAGAGGACAGCTCCCAGTATCTTATCAAGTGGACAGGCTGGACAGGTTGGAAAATTCAAAAATGGGACATTGATTCTGAGCCCATTTGATATCAAGAAAATAAATTCTTCCAGAGTGGCTAAATGAAGTACTTCATCGGACAAGAGAAAGGAGAACAAGTGACCATGTTACCCTGGGCCTGGCCTGACTTCCACACTCACGTGCCACACACTGCCACTTCATTTGAGGAAGACCTAACAGCTTCTTGGTTCTGATGTGTCTGTCTCCGAGCTGCAGCACTGGGCCAAGTGAGCAGGCCTCACTTGCAGTTCTGTGCACTGGTGCTGGGCACGTTTGCTTGTGTGCCATCTTTTTATACTTCTGCTGTCTTACAAGTGCTAGTAATTAGCATGAAATTACCTTTTAATATTTTTAATGTCTTAATATTATTGGATCATGAAAGAACTGAGTATGACTTGTTTTTTGGAAAAGGAATTTTACTTTTCAGTCTATTTGTATAAAATGTACTTTTTCCATATCTATAAATAAACAGAGTTTTGTAGTATATATGGCTGGTCTCACACTGAGGTGCATCCCCAGTCCTTTTTTTTTTTTTTTTTTTAAACTTGAGATCATCTCTGCCAAGTTGCACAGAGTGGACTCAGACTTACAATCCTCTTGCCTTAGCCTTCTGAGCAGTTGAGATTATGATGAAAGGCTGTGTTCACTAGGAAGTATGTTTTAGTACTTTATAAGAAGAATTTTTTTTTTTTTTTAAATTTATGTATTTTGTAGAGGGTCTCACTATGCAGCTCGGACTCGTAGTGATCCTTCCCAGGACTGGGAGTACAGGCATGCACCACCACACCCGGACTTAGTGACCAGCTCAGTACACCCTGGGATGGGGCCAGCGCATGTGGTACCTGGGATCGAACCCTGGTCCCTGCGCTTGCCTGAGTAGGTGCTTAGTCCGCTGAGCTACTCACCTGCCCTAAGAATAATGGTGTAAAAGTTATGAGTTGTGCTGTGATACTGTCTGTAATCACAGCATTGAGGAGGCCGAGACAGGAGGATGTGTGAATTCAAGGCCAGCATGAGCTACATAGCAGGTATAAAGCCACCTTGGACATAGTCCCAATCTCAAAGTGTGCAAGATATGACACATGACAGCAAATGCTAGGAAAAAAATCTTCAGGGCTAGAAAGGGGCTATCAGAGGAGGTACTAGGTGACTGAACCCCATCTGGCCAACAGAGAGAGGATGCCCCATCTTGCCTAGCCCTGCTCTGCCCCTCCAGTGAGCCTGGATGGCTTGGACAACTGAGTACTCGGCCAGGCGGGACTAGAGCCCCAGCCCAGTCCAATTTCAGAACTATACAAATTCTAGTTACAAACTGCTGAGCTTGTTTCTGCTTTTTATTGTGTAAATACTTAAAAAGTTTTCTGAAAATTGGCTATGAAGTTTAGAGACAATAAGCACAACAAACCTGTACTTTAATAACTAAAGGTCAGCCTTAAGCCAGTGCTCTTTGTTTTCTGTTGGTGTTTTCCTCCAGTTAAGTCAGGTGCTGAGGAGGAAGATGGGGCTACCTCTGAGGCCAGTCCCCAGGGCAGGTACACTCTGCCCATTTGTGTGCTGCGTCTGCCCTCGGCAGTAATTGTTTCCTGGCCCTTCACACATACCATTCACTGCACACAGTGTTGTGGGGCATGTGGCCATGTGACCGAGTGAGGAGTTGGAGGGCTGGACCAAAGCCTTCAGAACTGTGGCTTTAGGACACAATGAACAGGCCAGGAGATGGCTGCACAGCCAGCGCTGGATGCAGCCAGTGGAGTAGAGCATGTTGTAACTCCAGGAGCTCTTGCCTCTGTTACTGTCCCACTGGGCTGATGGCACAGGAAGCCTGTGCTTGTCATGGACTCAACCTGAAGGGCAAGTAGCAAACTCCTCACCCATAATGCCACCTGATTGGGTTCCCAGCAGTCCCTGCTTGTCGCCAGCTGCTATTCTGGCTGCCCCACACTGCACATGCACCATCTGCTCGTTGTGGCAGATGCTGACTTTCTCCGTGAAGGATCGCAGTGTACCCCACTTACCCTGTGGGCGCAGACAAGAATGAGTGCTCAGGTACTCGGACATGTTTCACTCTGCCATTCTTGGCACAATTACAACTAAGAGGTCATGCTAAGTCTTACCATTAGGGTCTCTCCCCCAGAGCTATGTACAGAGGGGCCATCAACAGCCCTGAAGGACAGCTCAGCTCAGCAGAGCTAGGGAGAGTTCTTAGGCTAGGTCTTGAAGTGTGAACTAAGTCACTGGTTTACTCCTCTGTATCTGTGCTGTGGGCCCTGTGCTGGCTATGGAGGCCCAGTAGTGAGCAGAGGACAGTGGAAGAAGACATGTCAGCTGCAGGCAGTTGGGGATCCAGGGTATGCTGCCCAGCTGGCCTCACCCTGGGTGACAGGTGTGTGGGGAAGAACATGTCAGTCCAGGAGCTGTGTGTCCTAGAAAGAGAGGCCCTCGGCTTTTAGCATCCTTAGGGATTGTCCTATCCCCTTTCTGGTGTCTGTAATCAGTGGGAAGGCTCAGAGCTCAGTCCTCTAGACCAGGGCTTCACTGGGTCTTGCAGTTTCCCTGTCCCACTACTCCCATAGGTGCTGACTGCAAAAGCACCCCTAAGAAACACCCTCCCTCTAGTCTTAGCTTGCTTGCCAGGAGTCCTGACCCGCAGCTTCCGTAGCTAAGTGTACCCAGTGATCAGTGATTGGGGCTGTGGGGATACGTCAGCTGGCTGTTGCAGAGCCAGTGAGGGGCAGTCTCCAAGTCAGACACATCCATTGTCAATGCATGTGGCCAAAGGGCCAGTGTGTCTCTTGGACACTCATAGCTTAAATGTATCCCCACAGCTCAGTTTCTGTTCAGAAGATAAAATTTTTCACTGATGGATTAACCTTAACCGTGTGTTGACTGTTCCACCTCTGTAGAAACGAATTCCATAACCCCACTGTTGGAGGTGGTGCCATACGATTTAAAGCCATATATATCAGCACCTCAAGATTCCCTGGGTCTGCAATGCAAAATCACACTGGCCCACAGCCCACAGCACCTGTCTGGTGGCCCCTCTGGGTAAGAGGCCAGACCCCCTCTGCTTACCCAACGGGAAGGCACATGGTGCCTCTGAACTGCATTACAGATAACACCTGTCTTCAGTTGCTGGCAGTGTCAAAAGAATTTATTTCAAATCCGCTTAAGATTGTGGTAAAACTCAAGTTTTTCAAAAGGTAATACAGAAAGTGCAACCTACTGCCAAAGACCACAAAACACAGTGTTTGCAATTAAAAAAATACAAACGCTTGTGGATACCAATACAAAAATTAGAAAAAATTACTTTCCTTACCACTGCCCACCCCTCTGTTTTCCGTGGAACATAAACAGCCACAGCACCAAGATCTGCCACCAAATACTAACCACTAGGAACAAAGTGTTATGATGGGTTGGGGCTGGGGGAGGGGACAAAGAAAGGCAGTAAAATAGCAGGTCTTTCGACAGCCAAAACAAGAACACAGCTTTTTTCTTGTTAAGTTCCTTTGCCAACATTAAACAAACACCTCTCATGCTTAATACAACAGTGTCGCGCAAAGGCAGCAATTCTACATCATGCATTTACATTTCTGCTTTGCCCACTTCCCCCTTCCTCCCAGGGCTGAGGCCCTGCAGAGCTCACAAAGTCCAGTCTCCAGCGGGAGGGATCACATTGGCTGTCCCAAGCCTATTTCACGGAGCACGTACCTCCAAGTCCTGCGTTCACAGCCACCACCAGCCCCTTTGCGGCCCTGAAGCCTTGCCCAGGGGCTTGCCCTGTGCCCACTTTACTGGCTCACAAGCCCCAGGGCCTTCGCTAGGACTAGGTTGGAGGCTGTGGCCACCATGAGCTGTGCCCCTTGAGAGAATAGCGTTGAGTCAACACCCAGCTCCGTCCAACTGATGTCAACGTCATCCTTGAGACTTCCCTTAATAGCTCAGAAAGTGAAGCCCCAGCAGTCATCAGCACTTTGTTCACTGCAGACAGCCGGTCATCAGGACCTAGCGACCAAGGAGCCAGAGTGCCGGGTTAATGTCTCCTTGGCTTGGTGAGGTTTCTGCTTGAAGCTAAGAGATTGCGGACAAGAAGCTTCTTCCCTGCACTTGAATGAAGCACCAGACCTCCCTGGGAAGGGAGCACTTGGGGCATTGCTGTCTGTGGTCTACGACACCTGTCTTTTAATGCCTCTTCTATCTCCTCCAGCCAGACAGCTGAGTAATCAGTACTTGTCCCAGTCACCAGGAGGCTTAGATGGAAGACATTGTGGTCAAAGGACTCTGGAAAATCCCCACACAGTATTGATCCATCAGATGTGAGCCTTTGGATTAGACTTGAGAGACTGCATGGGTTTTTTGTTTGTTTTCTTTAGAAAGTGCTATTCCATAATCCTTGCAAGACAGAAGAGGAGGTAGGTTATTGTGACTAGTCCTATTTGCAGGCGGGGACACTGAGGCACAGAAGGATTCAGAGATTTGCCCTCACCCGTGCCCATGAACCAATGGCCAAGCCAGGCTAAAGGAGATGAGCATCTGAGGGCTGCACCTGGCGTCCAGTCATTGCAGCCCTCACCAAACCACCCGCATCTTTCTGCAGCCTGTTTCCCTAAACTGCCAGGATTCCTTCAAGGAACAGGTGCTGAGCAAGGTGGTCAGTGACAACAGCTATGAGCCCACTTCAGAAAAAGGTCCAGAGATTTCCCAGGATCATTACAGACTTGAATATCTTCTAGAAAGATCTGATTAGACTTTTGTAACCTGCTGAAGACCACCAACTCTTTAAAAAGTCCTTCTGGCTTCTAGTGGCCAAGAAAACAAAAGTAAGGAGGATTTCCTCCAGGGAAAGAGGGTGGTGCTGAGCATCCTCCAGGAGGAGAGATGTGAGACCTGGCAGCATGACATCTGCCTGTGGCTCACCCCTTTGAAGGCTTGTGGGAAATCCTGCTCTTGGACTGACAGGAATGTTGGCAGCATGGTAATACAGGGTTTCAGTGCAGCATAGAAGTGGATGCCACCATCATTTTTAATATTGACGCAAGACAGACCAATAGCTTGACCAGGTGGTGCTTGTAGGGGCAAGTCCCAGGGACACCTGGCAACCTCTAGATACTTGTAATTGTCACAACTAACTGGAGGTTGCCCCCCAAAATGTCCGTACAGGTGTGAAACTGGCTTCACCCACAGCCTTGCTATAGTGTTCTTCAGCATTCTCGCATTGAGGTCTCAAGAGTTCCACCACCCTCCCGGCTGCAGGTGCTGGCGGGAGTGGGGCAACCACCTGCAGCTAGCATGGAAACAAGCCTTCACGGGAAGACAGCCTTTCACTGGAGTGATGCAGGAACCCCCGAGAGATTGCACATCAATGCTACATCTGATTCTGCCTGAGGGTGCTCTAGCAGGGCAGGGGCACCGTGAGCAGAGAAAGGGCTCAGAGAGGAGGGCTTCCTCCCTGTCTCTTGGGGAGCACCACGGTGTCGCATAGACTTGCTCTGAGAAGCCTGCCCCCATTCTGGGGGCCACAGGGCATAAGGGTGCTTTTGCAGCTATAGAGCACATAGAGGCTGACAATCAGCCTGTGTCACAGTGGTTAGGCCAGGAACCCATGTTCACTAAAATTGGGATCATTCTTTCCCAAAGAGGATAGAGAAGGAGGAAAAAGCCTGCTGTGGGCATTGCCCTCTCTTGGAGCAAGAGCTGGATGCTCAGAGTGAGGAAGATTCTAGTGAAGATTCTAAAAGAGATGAACTTGAGCACACTTCGACAAAGTGGCTCATTAGCAAAGAAAGAACCGTGGGGCTATGTACAGAGGCATCGACTGCAACACAGTGGGACTCCATATCTTATGCTGCTTTGAGTTCCTTTCTCACAGAAAGCACTAGACAGCTGTACAGCAAAGTATTCCTCGGCCAGCCCAACCAAAGCATCATCCTGATCTCATGTATATGTAAGCATCTGGCCGCATTGCGAGGTGGTAGGGAATTTAGGTGATGAGGATCCCACGACCGATCTGTCCCTTCTACTTCAGCCTTAAAGAGCTGATCCAGTCCTTCTTTGCTTTTGGGATCTCTCAAAAGCAGTAATGTGTGGCTGGCCTGCCTTTCTCCCTGTGGCCCATGGTTGCCCCTAGAGGAGCTTTGTCTGGGGTGGCTTAGAAGGACTGCCCAGAGCTGCCCCGGCCTTAACCTTATTACTTCTAGGCTCCAGTGCAGGTAAAAAAAAAAAAAGGGGGGGGTGCCCCTGCCACAGTGCTGGCAGATGTCCTGGATGTCCTATCCCCAATGTCCTGGCTGCTCCTTTTAGAATGTCAGGCAACTTTGTTCTTGAAAGGGCCACCTGGAAGGCTGGGCATGGCTCAGCGGTGGGTGCTTGTCTAGCCTATGTGAAGCCCTGGGTTTGATCTCTAGCACTGCTTTAAAAACAAAACCAAAACCCCACCTAAAATTGTGGGCATTCCTATTGATACACTTGCATCTCCTCTGATTTGACTTCTGGCTCCCCCAGGAGCCCCTGACCTGTGCCTGCTCCAGGGTGGGTGATTTTAGGAGTTCTTGCGACCCTCCACTGGCTGTGGGGACTCTCCTTGACCTCACAGCCTCACCAGCACTGCCTCCATGCCTGGGGCACAGCCTGTCTTCTCCAAGACAGCAAGGTGCTCCCAAAGCCATGGCATCTGGCCTGTGGCCCTCACCAGGACCTTGCCGGCTCAAGGCTGTGGCTTCTCTGTGTTCTTTAGGATCGGGGGCACCTGTCCCATGGGGAGCCAGGGCCCTGGATCTGGAACTGTGGCCAAGGCTATGGGAGAGTAGATGGGGGAGGCAGCCAAGCACGGAAGGCCAGGTCCTATGTGTGACAGCTCTGGACAGGGCTCTGCTATAGGGGAAACAGTCAGAAACCAATCAGGCAGAAAAGGAGTGTAGAGTCAAGCCCTGGACCTCCACAGAGCAGAGGCTCTGGAGCCCAGTATGGAGGCCAGAATACAGCACCAAGCTGCTCCTGGTGACACTGGGCAGCCGACCCAACTGGGCACATTTGAGGAGATGGCGGGCCATGAGTGAGGTCCGAGGTAGGATGGTTGGGCCTGGCAGCAGATCCTCAGCAACAGTCGGGGTCTGCACAAGAAAGCGGCTGAGGAAGCACAGGCGGTACCAGTCTCACAGAAACCCACCCTAGCAAGGGGACAAACCAGTCCTCAATGTCAAAATCAAATAACTGATAAAAGTCTTAAAAAGGAGGAAGCAAGATAACTTTCAGGAGGAGCTAGAGGAGCAGAACACAGAGAACAAGGGAGGAGACAGAGGTCAGGTCCTAGAAGTGGGAGGACAACGTGGCTGTCATCCTGGTCTTGTTTCCAGGAGGCCCCATGCCAGAACCCCCGGGTCCATCGGACACAACACATCTGGGCTTGGGCTGACGGAGAACAGGTGTGGACCATTGTCATTAAAGTCCTGTCCTCACAGGTCCTGCTCACCCTGTCACAGCAGAGCCACACTCTTCAGGGCACTTCTTGTGTCTATAATGCTTTCCTGACAGCACTGTGTGAGTGTGTGTGTGTGTGTGTGTGTGTGTGTGTGTGGTGGGGAGGTGTCACCAAAAAAAAGGTGGACTGACATGAGAGGCCTTCCCAGGTCTCTAGGCCCTGTGCTTCTAAGTGTGTGGGTGGCCTGGTTCAGAAGAACAAGTTAGCTTCTGGGGCAGCCAATTCCAGAAAAGCTGCCTTCAGGCAAAGACATGTCACAGGCATTAAAGTTCCAATATTTCCATCTATGGCTAAAAACTAAGAATTCAAGGAATGACCTGTGGTTAACTATTGGACAAACCCATAAGTATGTGTGTGTGTGGGGTGTGTGTGTGTGTGTGTGTGTGTGTGTGTGTGTGTGAAAGAGAGAGATAGAGAGACAGACAGACAGAAAACTTACAACTGGTTGATTAATAAAGACCTAAAGAAGCCCTTTAAAAGGTTCTCAATAGAGAAAGAGACAAAAATCAAGCATTAATGATTAATGTCCCTTTTGATCAGTCCTAAATTAGGCCTGCAAGTGGCATGTCATATACTGAAGGCCCCAGGGCCAGAATGCTAAAGGGTGGCTTTTCCCAGTAGAGATGAGAACCCACCACAGGGGTTGACAGCACAGCCCCCTGGCTCCATCTCAGAGTTCCATCCTCGAAGTCTGCCTTCCTGTCTCCTCCAACAAAAGATTAGTTTTGCAATGAGACACCAGGAACCATCCATGTGACCCAAAGGCCTTGATCCCCTGGGAAACCCCGTGTGGTGAGTTTCCCCAGCATTTGGGTGGGAGAAGGTGACGTGCACACCTGTGTCCTCCACTGTGGTGGCAGCTGTAGTGTGACCTGCAGTGCATCCCACAGAAACCATCTCTCTCCAAATGTTCGGTGGCTTCTGAGCCGTGCCCAGGACTTGCTTGTTGTTGTCCACCCCGGTGGATTACTGGAGCTTCATGTAGACTTGTGGCTCCTTAAGGTGAGGCCCCAGTCACAGGCCAGCTGGACAGTGGGAGCTGCCAGGCTAGTTGCCTGTCAGCTTTGGCCTCCCCAGGGTTGTTGGCACCTCCAGTCCTGTGTGCAGGGTGACCTGGAAGAGAATACCAGATAGCTGAGGCTGCAGCCTTTCCTTGCCTGTGACTGCCTGTTAACCCCAGGGACAAATATCCTTGGTAAGTGATTGAGAAGTAACTGTCATTTGAAGGAAAATGAATGGAACTGGAGGTCATCTTGTTAAGGAAAGTACAACAGACTCAGAAAGACAAGATCACATTTCCCCTAATACATGAAATCTTAAAAAAAAAAAAAAAATGAGCTACTTATGGTGGCACATTCCTAATCTTAATTCTTGGGAGGATGAGGTAGGGATTTTGGGACTAGCTGGAGGTACACAGAGTTCAAGGCTAGTCTGGACTACATAGTGAGACTTCGTCTTAAAAATTCAGAAAATATAAAACAGGGCCAGTGAGATAGCTCAGTGAACTAAGCACCTTCTTTAGCAAGTGCGGGGACCAGGGTTTGATCCCCAGTACCTCATGCCATACCAGCCCTGTCCCCAGGACGCACTGAGCTATTGACCAAGTCCAGGCATTATGGAGTGCTGGGGAGGCTGAAAACAGGAGGATCACTACGAGTCTGAGCTGCATAGTGAGACCCTGTACCAAATATATAAATGAAAGAAAAAGAAAAAAAAAAAAAAACAAAGATGGCATGAAAGTAGAAGGGTTACTATTATTACGCAAGAGGTATGAGGAAGGGCAGCAGGGCAGTAGCAGGGAACAGATATAATTGAAATTCATTATATGCATGTATGAAAATATGTTGAAACCCAACATTTTGTAAAACTAACCAACATTAATAAAATATATATTTTTAAAAAGAAATGATTGGTATGGATGCATTGGTATGCAGAACCAGTGAGCAGCCCAAGGCAGGCCTCCACCCCTCCAGGATAGAGAAGGATGCCACCCCTTGGTTCTCTCCTCCCCCCACCCTCAGGCCTCTGATTCTGTCTCAGGCTAGGACCTGCTGCCTGGGCCCAGCTCTGAGCTCTGCTTCTCCAAAGTTGGCCCCACTTGACCCAAGGGACTGATCACCACCGAGTGTCCCCACCAGGGCTCTCTGCTCTGTCTAGTGGGCACAATGAGCAGCTGCTCAAACTCTGACTTGCTCTAGCAAGGGCAGCAGCAGTGACCAGGGACAGGGTGCATCCAGTCCATGCTGGGCAGCAGGCACAAAGTACCTGCACATTGCGGTTGAGGCTGAGGGCCGGCATGAAGACGCCATCCACGTGGCTGAAGGCGGTGGGGCCCTGCTGCTGCCCATTGATGAAGAAGGTCAGGGTGTGCTTGTTCAGGTCCAGGAGCACGCCGACAGTGGCCCCCTTGCACACGCCACCTTCAGACCTAGTGAGACAGCCAGTAAGACTCATCACCACACTCAGCCTGAGACACAGGCCATGACTATGGAGAACCCTTAGAAGGACGTTGGGGATATGCACACATAAAACAGCCCCAGGGTGGGGCAAGGCATATTCTTTGGTTTTCCAAGCATCTGTGGGTGTGCGCCCATTACTGGACTACACAGGAACACTCTGAACTTGGGGGCCCAGGATGCTCAACAATTCCCAGTACTATGTGAGACCTGCGCACCACAGCGTGGGAGCCCCTCTGAATTTGGGTGCGGGCAGGATGAATATAGAAGTTGCCCTTGTCTGCCAAAGAAAAGAACTAACTTGGCCCCCTTCTCAGTTTTAAGTTGTTCAGATGCTAAACCGGATTGAGATAGAGACACAAAGGTTGCTAGACATACCATCCTGAGGACAGCTATAGCAAGCAGAAGGGCAAGAGTTGAAAGCCAAACCCTATGTCTGAGTCTCCATCCCCAGGTGACCAGCAGTGGGACCTTGAGCACGTCAGTGATGGAGCCCTGGAGCCCAGATCATGGGGCTGGGGAGGAACACCCTTGGAACATGACTTGGGCTTGGTGAACTTGCCGCCTGCCGGTGGGCCAACTCAGCCCTTGAGAAAAGCACGCTGGTGCTTCCCATTAGGACCGAGCTGAGTAGCTGGGACGGAGGAAAGGTAAGCTGTGGAAGGGCTGGAGGAGGGCTTGTGGGTGGGCCTAGGGGTGTTCGTTGAGAAGGCAGGTTTTCACGAAGGTGCCCAGGGCCAGGCATGCATGGGTCAGGACCCGCAGTCAGTCAGGGGACTCAAACTGGGCTGGTGGTGCTCTTCTGAGGTTGACCACAGGGTGGCGGTAGTAACCATCCTGAAGTGCTGGGCCTTGACTGCCAAGGAGCTTGGAGTTCAGGACTCCTCAGCTCTATGGGCTGTGGGCAGCCTGCAGCACCAACTCGGCCTGCGTTGCATAGTCAGCCAGCAAGAAAATGCAGCCAAGGGGCCGGCCTGATAGCTCGGCAGACTAAAGCATCTGCTTAGGCAGAGCACAGCGACAGAGGTTCCATCTCCCGCGTGCCGTGCCAACTCCGCCCACGGGGCGTGCTGCGAAGGTGACTGAGACTGGGCATCATTTGTGATGTGGCACATGCCTGTAATCCCAGCACTTGGGAAGCTGAAAACAGGAGAATCACTATGTGTCTGATCTATGTAGTGAGACCCTGTAAATCTTGTAGATCCTTTCCTAAATACAGGGGAAAAAAAGAAAGAAAAGAAAAAGAAAATGCAGCCAAGGCAGAGAGTGCAGAAAGACAGAGCTGCCAGCCTGCTCTCAGGCCTTGGGGGCAAGGGCATTAGCAAGGAGCAGGAGGCCAGAAGGTATGGTGCCCAGTACATGAGACCAGTCCCAACCACACCAAGATTCCCTGGGAGAGAAGCTGTGCTCTCCCAGAGTGGGGAAGGTGCCCAGGACTATCTGTAGGAGCACACACAGACCCAGAGCAGAAGCTCAAAGGAACCACCAGTCAAGGGTTGAGGGCCCTGTGCACTCAACACCTCGCGACCCCTCCTCCAGGGCAGTAGTGGTGGTCCCGCCAGGTGAGTGGCCTGCAGAGAGCTAGTGCCCACTCACATCCTGAAGTGCCTCTTCCTGGCTTGATGATTATAAGGGAAGGGAGAGCAGATCCAGAAAGAAAACCATAAGGCCTGTTCCCTGCAGAACACCCATCATGTGCTAGCTGCAAGACTGCCCACCTGGTGCACAGGGCTGTCCTCGTTCTCACACACTTTCATTTGGACCACAGAAGAGGGATCAGTTCCCTGGTACCGGTCAAAGCCACTTGGCACTGGTGACCAAATGCCTAAAAACACCACCACCTGACCCCTGCACACCTGGCTGTGAGGAGCAAATGGAACTGGCACAAGAGGCAGGGCAGCACGGGGAGGGCAGGCAGCACGCACCTGTTGGTGTGGGAGTTGCAGTGCATGAACCAGCTGCGGTTGTTGTCCACGTACATGGCCCAGGCTTTGTCATCCTTGCCCAGCATCATGTCCTTGGCCACACTGGCCCTGGCCACCCCAAAGGCGGGGTCTGGGTGGTTGTCATACCGGTCCACGTGCAGCTCCCAATAGTGCACACCCTTGGAGAATGCGGCTGTGCCCAGCACGACCCGGTCGTCATAGCTGCTGCAGGTGGCTGTCTGGTTGTCATTGGACAAAATGATGTCCCGGTGCCCAGAGTTGGGGTCAAATGTGAACCAGGCCACTGGTAAGGGAGGACATAAGAGGAGCAGGGAAAGGCAATGGAATTCACCAACAGTTTCTTTTTCTTTTTTTCTTTTTTTTTTTTTGGTGCCAGAAATTGAACTCAGGACCTGGCACTTGCCAGGCAGGTGCTGTGCCACTGAGCTTTATCTCTGGCCCTCACCAACAGTTTCTAGTGTGCTGAGACCTGCTCAGACTCATTGGTTTTCATTGGAAAGTAGACATCCAGTGTCCAGTGGTCCTTGGCCTGGAAGGGTACAACACTCTACACATACACACACACACACACACACACACACACACACACACGTTCCTTGCTGTGTTCCTCCATGTTCCCATCCCCAGAACTCAGCCATGCCAAGGAACAACAGCGGTTGAGGCCGCCCAGGCCCACAAGCAGATGCATCATGACGTCTTGCCTATGAGACCCTTGCAAACACACACTGTGAGGAGAGAAGGACTTCGATGGCCCAGAGACTGAGACACAGAGAAAGCAACAAGGCCAAGGTCCCAAAACTTATTCTCTGTTCTGCAGCCCATGGGGGGCACCCCTTCTGCTTCCTACTCCCCAGGATGTAGGACATGGGAACCTTCCTCTAAATTTCTGACCATAGCACTCGAGGCAAAAGGGGATGAGTCCGGGGGTGCTTACCATCAGACGTCTGCAGGACAACTGTCTTGCTGTACGGCCCGACACCTGACGAGTTGAAGGCTTTGACCCTGGCATTGTAGGTGCTATTGAAGTGCAGCCCATCTATGGTGCACAGGGTCTCCTTGCCAACGTATACCTCCTGGAAGAGCCAAGGCTACCCATTAGGCCTCTGGGGCTCCAGGAAATCCCTCATGGCAAACGGACACTCCAAGTGCTACGTCCAGCAGGACTGACAGAATAAGAGAGAATGCAGCCAGCATGGCTGGGCTAGGCCATGTCCAAGAGGGCAGGTGCCCTGCTGCTGGCTGGGTGGCCCTTCTGTGGAGGCTGGGGGCTGTGGGGGACCTAGGAAGACAGAGCTGTAGGTCCTGGGGGAGAGGACTGCCATCTCCTCTCCTGCTCTTAAGGTCGAATATTCTGCGCCTTGGCTTCCTGGAGCTGCTGATTTCCAGATGTCCCCGGGGGTAAAGCATTCTTACCCTGGATCTCAATTTTTTCTTTCTATGGATTTGTTCACCTTTGGCTCCCAAATTCCTCTTGTCCTACCCCTCTCCCCCATGTATGGCCACGGGCAGATCTGGCCATACTGTGCTGTTCACTTTGCCTGCAGCCTCCACCTGCCCCTTTAGAGATCACTGTTCACTTGCTGTTCTGTTACTAATTAGTAGTCATTGCCGTGTGCCTCTCCTTACATCAGGTGTCCTAATCACCTCACAATCCAGGGACACTGACACAGCATCTGGAGGAGATGGAAGTGCATCCCAGGTACCAGCTAATCTACTAGTGGCCACTTTTCAAATCCAGCTATCTGCTTTTTCTCTTTCTTTCTTTCTTTCTTTCTTTTTTTTTTTTTTTTTTTTTTTTTTT